CCACCCCCCCATGTCAACTTTTCACTAACCCTCTCCTCCCTCTCTCTGAGCTGACGTCATTTGTGAACGGTCCCTTAGTGTTCAAATTCTTCTTCTTCATCATGTGCTAGATGCGAAACAGACATCAATGATCATGGTTTACCTTTTATATTTCTGCTCGAAAATATGTATATTATTCTGGTATTTTCATGTTGCTTATATTTGTTTAAGTTCTCAGAGTAAGCTACTCTTCCCTCTTTTGCCTTGTATTTTTCCAGTGAAAGCAGGACTGTCGTGTTGATTTAAAATCATTACCCAGTATTTCATTCATGTTAGTTTTGCAATCCGCAGCCAATTTCAAGCATTTTGCTTTTTATTAAAAGTTAACATCTTATTGTGATCTAAAATTATGAAGGAATATGCAACACTGGATACTGTACTGTTATTAAAAAAAGAAAACATTCTGTGAACCAGCTTATTCCAATATTGAGGCTGAGTGTGTTTTTATTAGTTGTACCACCATGTATGTTATTATCATTGTTGTTATCTTTATCTTCAATTTGTTTGCTTGTTTATGATTAACATTAAATAAAGATCAATGGCTTTGGGTTTTTTTTCTCAGAATTTGAAAATAGAAAATGAAGACAATTGTACTCATCATGAAGAAATTGCTGAAGAGAACTATCCCTACAATCATAACTGTGGAAAATAAGAGAAAATGCAAAGTGTAAATGTAAAATAAGATATTAAATGACCATTGAATAAGAAAAAAAGTTTAGGATTTCAGTTTTATCTCTTATTCTTCTTGACATAGTTTGACTGTCTCTTATTGGAATAAGGAATTAAATTACTTATAAATTGGAGAGCACTTTAAAGACTTCTATTTTGTCTCGTATTACCCTCTGTGATGTATTTTGACTATCTCTGATTGGTCAGATCTCACACCGAGTCCACGTGGAGCACCAGGTGGAGGTGAGGCAGATTTTGTCGCAGGATGACCTTGACCGGCTTCAGGCCAGTGGAGAGAAACAGTCACTGTCTCCAGAGGGCTGGACAGGTAGGAAGATTTGTCCAGTGAAATTTTCCCTCTCAAATACAAACTATTTTGTTGTTGTTGCTGTGGCCCCCTGTTGTATCTTGTGTCTGCCTTTGAATTACAAATATCTATCTGACGTCTTTGGCTGTTTTGAGTTACTTAGATCATGAAGTCAGAAACCAAATTTTCTATCTGCTCTTTGCAAATTGTAAGATTATTCATTATTCAGAGTTGTTAACAAGATATTCAAAGAACTGCATTTAAAAAAGCTTGACATATTGTGAAACTCAAAACTTTTTAGGTCAAATTTATCCAAACTAGGCTCTGAGCTGGTAGAACTTTGTAATTCTAAGATAGCATAGTGTCTATAACCCTGAGGGGTAGGAGGTAGCCACAGACACACGCATGCACACGTGCGCACACACACACACACACACACACACACACACACACAC